TTATATGTATCACGATGGTTTCGGGAAGTTCAAAATTGGAACATTAACTTAAAAACTATAATAATCAGGAGTATATCTTTAGAAATGAAAATACTTAAATAATGTATTATTTACATAGTGTTCCAGAGAACTAGGGAAGTTTATCGATTGGAGAATCCAAACCATACTTTAATGTCAATTAATAAATTCTATGAATGTCTACAAAACATATGATGTCCAGTTCTCAGAAGCTAACCATTGATAAATGATATTAATGATACAAGTAGGCCTTTTCATCAAACCATTTGTTGATAAGTGTGGTAAAAAACTTAAGAAAATCCATTTATCTTTTAATCTTCCTTATAAGAAGGCTGTTTGCGGATTTTGGTTTAATTTTCCGCATACTTTTTGTTCCGTCCAAATTCTGAGTTCACAGAACAGTTAAGACTTAAACGGTAATGTAGATGATACTTTTAATGAACTGTTTAAAAATATTCAAATCTATTATATATAAAAGAAAGTCGTGTTAGTTACACCACTTATAACTCAAGAACGGATACTTTTTAATCAATACTTTTTTTTACTTTTTACCGAAAATCACGAACGGGGACGGGAAAAAATGGGATTACGCGTACGAAGTCGCGGGCAGAAGCTAGTTAATATTAAAAAATCAATTGCTACAAAATCCATTCATAAAATAACAAGGAGTTTGTATATATTTGTACATTATCACTAACCTGTAACTAGACAGCCTTATATTAAGAAGATCGATGTGTGCACGATGCAGTTATTCACCTTCTACAAAAAATTATTGCTCATATCAAAAGCCCGTTGAATAATATGGTTTTATCTCTATTATTACTAAAAAGAATAATCCTATGTCTTCTTTAAAATAACTTTATTATATGTCACATTATATACTCGTATATATTATTATAATAGCAGACCTACTTTATTTTCAATGTTAAACAAAAATCATAAATATCGTAAAGTTTATCTCATAATAATATTCAAATGAGGTAAATATTATTAAATATTAAAGGAAGCTGCGTTTTAATATAGATCATTGTTGTTATATACATATGTAAAAACATTTTGAACTTGTTCACCTTTATATAATATAAATCAGATGTTATGTATAATTTTCCACTAATCATGCATTTTAATTAAGAGAACTCCTCCTTTTTTATACGTATAAAATAACATAATGCCTTTTAATCTTTAAAATTATAATCTAACAAAGTTGTAAATTATAAAATGTAACCCCTATTTTTCATTCACATAACATCACGCCTTTCATCCCCGAAGGGGTAAACAGAGGTGTACATTATGCCACTGTAGAATGTAACACCCACTTTTCACTATTTATATTACGAGTCCCATGTAATAGGGGGTGAGCTTATTGCCATATACCGGGCACAATTCTAGACTCATGCTACAACTGAGAATTTTTTTAAACCGAATCGAACCCGAGACCACTTGGCCTACGAGGCAGCATTTTTCATTAATTGCATTATATTTCTCTTGTAACTGCAGGATGCGCCTTTTTTGACGGGAGAAAATCATCCAATGATTCCAATCCAATAACTCAAGGCGGGACCTTGGGTTTGGCGAGAAGAGAGAGTGTCAGACTGTTACTGACTAAAATCACCCCGTTCCTACTCCTGCTCTCCTCTCCTGCTCCGGCAACCCGTTAGGCAATCCACCGCCCCGTATCGGGAATCAGAACTTGCAATCACTCAAACAACCAAGTAATCGTTTTTGGAAGTCGGTAAAAAATTATTAAGACTTGTATAGCTATTAAGTTTATTATGAAGCTAAGCTACTAAGTTCTTATAATAGCTAAGGAAATAAATATGCAATTTTGAGTGTCAAAATATTTTGAATCATTATTTGATTGAATGGTTCAGTCAATATTTTATATGATTACAGGTTTCGTCGATTCATTCAAGGTAGTAATTTGAGAAATTTTTTGTAGACTAATATATAATATTTGGATATAATTAGTATGTGGTTATAATACATATATTTTGTATAAAAAAGAGACGTAGGAAATTCAAACTTTTATTGAATTTCATAATGTCAGCAAAAACTGTGTAATTTTTTACAGAAAAACTATAAATCCAATACTTGGTATTTTTACACACAACCTGTATTTATTGAATTCAATTCAATCAATTAAATATTATTTTATGCAAAAAAAATAAATCCGTGCTAATCACAGCTGTAAATAACATAACTGATACGTAAAAAGCAAACGGCACAGATAAAACAATTTTAATAATCATACGTAGAAAACCAAAGTAGCGCCCTCTACACGTAGCACTCAACAACATCTACTACGTAACATCTACAACTTCCAACTTTACAAGCCTTCGTAAAGTAAAAGTATCAATCAAGGAACATTCGTGTGTAATTGTGTTGTAATTCGGAAAATAACCACTAGATGGCAGGCTAGTCAACATTGTAGTAGTAGACTTAAGTTCTTCCATACAAAAGAGTTCAACGAGCTGACTCGATAGTCGTTGAAGTCTTTTGTATGGTCACGTTGATTGAGTAATCACAAGTGGTTGATCAAGTTTGATTACCGAAATTAAAAAAGTTCTGAGTATTTCGATTTTAGAAAATTTCACAATAACAGAACGGAGTCTGAAATATTGCTAAATGTGAGGCACTATTTCAGGACTAATGACATACATAACTCTTTGAACCTTGGTATTCTATTGTATCTTAAAAAGATACAATTGTTTTTACCCATTCAGCATTAAAAGGCGTGACGACATGTATACCTATGTACCACAATAATATTATCAACCTTTAGTAAAGTAATACCCCAAAACTTAGATTACACCAAGATTTCATAATGTACATTATATACAGGGTGTCCCTGATGTCGACGATCAAATGGCACAAGGTGATCGGCAAGGTTCCAAAATTTATCAGAAAAATATTAAAAAAAGTCCACGTCAGATAGTTTTTAAATTACAATGAGTCATGTGTTATCCACGAAAAAGTACACCCTGTGCCTTTTGGCTCTTATTGCTACAATTTATAATTTTTTTCGTCTGTATTTCTGCTTACGTTATCCTGAATAGTGCTTTAGTATTATGGAATCATAAATTCTGAACCAACTGCTTTATTCTGGAAAAGAATGTCGTCTTTTCACGAACACAGTGTTGTTAATAAATTATTCACCTTACTTTAAGTGACTGTACTGACATGAGGTATTCCCCAACAACTGGATATATCTCACAGCAATGACATAATACTCTCCAAAATCACGATTATGGGATTATTATTCATTGATTCATTTGTATGCCAAGCGACGCCTGAACATGAATGACTTTCATATCAAGGTACATTTTTACTTTAATATGTTGATATGCCTAATATTAAAAGCAATGATATAGAAAATCATTCTCGTTATAAATTCAAACCAAGACATACGCTTACTTATACACAAGTCTACATTTTTATCAAAACCTTTTTCAGATTTTGTAAATACTTCTATAAATTGATGCTTAGTAATAGCAAATTGTGCTTTAAAGTCTAGTTGCTACAATCAAAATGAAGTGTAGCATTTTTTAAAATTTACTGTTTTCTAAATGGTCCGCATCGCTTTTGTGAAGCCTTCGGTGTTACAGGTGTTCATAGGTTACTTTTTTAAGTTTACCATCAGGTCCAGTATGCTTTGTTGCTATCGAAACCAGACGTATTGATCACATTATAATCCTATGTTTGATTACTTATTAATTAAATTGTTTATATATAAATACTGCTAATGATATCCTTAAAGTCAAATCCTTGTATACAAAAGTGAGACTATTGTATATGGTAGTATACAATAGTCTCACTTTTGAATACAACATTGCTATATTTTATTTTTAATTATGAGAGATAAAGTTCTTGATTTGATTATTAATCTGTTTTTTTTTTTCTCTAAAAGAACTTTTCCCTACACTGGGACTGTCTCCTGTATCGTGGGTCCGTTTACAAACATACAAGTTCTCATACACACTTACACCCAGACTCGTAACAACAATTTGTGGATCACACAAAGAGTTGTTCCGTGCGGGAATTGATCCCGCGATACGTTGCGTGGCAGCCGGTTGTCCAGCCACCGCACCAACCGTGCTGTCACAGTAAAAGAATAGCAATTGTAGCAGTAAAAGAATAAAATATCATCAATCATCATTTAATAAATATACTGTATATTTTATTACTATTTATACATCATACATTACATTTTAAGGCAGTGAAATAACACCCTTATATAGATTTAAATCTACGACACGTTCGCGAATTTTATTTTCATTTATATATAAAAATATATACATTGCAGTTATTTAAACATAAAATGTATTTACCATAATTTGCAAACAATATCACAATGAATTACAAAACGGTAAAATCAAAACATTGTCGTTACTATACATACACCTCCGGAATATCCAAATAGATTAACTGTTGACATAGATATAGTGATATGTAACTGTATATTTTATATTTATTCAAATGTACAAGATTAACAAATTACATACATAAGTAAATATTATAGTGTAGTTCTTTGGTTTTAAAGAAGAAATTATCTTTTGTTTGTGGTTATACAACTCCAGATTTTTATACAGTAATACAATATTCTCTTACATTTTACATCTCTTTTGTGTGTATGTATGAATAAGAAAATACGAAAATAAAATTCACAAAATATTGTCAATATAAGCTAGTTGAACCTTAACATAATATTATACACAATTACCGGCAAGTTATGAGATTGCCCACACACGATACTTACAAGCTTCGATGTTATTATAAACCTTGATTTAAACAGAAAAATAAAATAAAAATATACTACAGTGTACAAAAACATCGAGTGTGGTATATTACAAATATCTTTTACAAGTACATATGTAAATATTTTATTACATGAAATAAATCTATCAATCTCAATTTAGTTACTCGCATTTCGAACGTTTTCCTTAGAGTTAATAGTGGCATTAGAATCGATATCTATAGTAGTCCTACCACCATCCGTAATGTCCATAGCCGCCGTATCCGTGGCCATAGATGCCGCCATAGGGCCAGTAGCCATAACCATAGCTAGGGTAGCCCCAACCGTAGCCGTAGTAGGATGGGTAGCCGAAATGTCCATAATGGCCGCCGTAGCCACCCCAATGCCCGCCCCAATGTGAGGCTGCAGTTTTGAGGTCATCTTTGTCTGCAGTTTCTAGGTCATCCTTCTCAGCTTCGACATTTAAGGTTTCTACTGGTTTTTCTTCAGCTGGCGCTGCGTGAGACAGCGCGAGGACGAGGAAGAGGGCGGCGGTGAAGAGAGCGATCTGTAATAAAATATTCAGTTGAGTTGGTATGCCAATATGAATGTAAGTATTTTAGATGACATTTTTATTAATCTCTTAACAGTAATTACTTAAAATGTTTGAGCCAATGTCAATAAGGTGGATTAAATATCTTAACAGAAATGTCATGTCATCTCAAAGTATTATGGTCGAAAAGCGATACAGTTTATAAAATATTATTGAAGTAGGATTATTTACTTTTTGTATCATTTTATTATTGCATGCAATAAAAACAAGTGCAAATTCAAACTAATATCAACAAAATGACTATAGACAACACAACAATACAATTATTATTAGTTAAAGTAAACACAAGAACAATACAATTGCCTACAGTACCTACAATACCTACCACATATCCCTACGACAATGCACAAACAGACAAACAGACATATCTCACGATCTTACAGTATAACTTCCCACGGATATGTACTGTCTACTAATTAAGATTAAACGTCCATTATGAAATACTTTGTAGCCAATTAATTTAGCAAATAAGAAAATAATTTTATCTAATTTTAGCTGACAGAAACAATAAATCATCAACATCACGACCTTTTATCCTCTATGGGGTAGGCAGAGGTGCACATTATACCACTGTACAATGTAACACCCACTTTTCTGTATATATTATTATTTATGTTATGAGTTCCATGTAATAGGGGATGAGCCTATTGCCATATACCGGGCACAATTCCAGACTTCGTGCTACTACTGAGAATATTTAAAAAACCCAGTAATACTTTGCCCGACCCGGGAATTAAACCCGAGACCCCTTGCCCGGCAGTCGCAATTGCGACCACTCGGCCAACAAAGCAGTCTGTATAAGACCAATAATGTTTTTAATCTTATGAAATTTGCTATCAGATTTTAAGTTGCACATTAAAAAGATAAGCAAGAAGCGCGTTTGACCTACATTTACAAATACATTTGCAAATAATTCAGTGAAATTAACAATTTTCTATAAGAAATATTGATAGAGAAGATAACAAGCCAGACACATTTTTTAAAAATCCGATATAAATGTCAGTGACGTGACCAAAGACAAAAAACTACCCTTACCAAAGATCACTTATAAAATAATTAATAATTATTTATTTAATCCAAACTTAATCCTAAATTTAATTAATTTAAAAATCACTACACTTGAGAACACCACAATAAGTAAAAATCCACTTACTTTGCAAGCCATGGTGCCTGGATGATGTTGATACAACACTGACTGTTGACGCCCTACGCGCTGTTTTATATCGAAGCCGCGTCCTAGCTGTACGGATGGACGCTTCCATACGACTATTGTGCTGCCAATGACCTTAGCTTTGGGATTTGAGGTAACTGGCTGTTGTGGCCTATATTTTCAGTGGAGAGGCTAAGTTATATGAAGGGTATGAAATTAATGGGGTATAATTATACGGAGCAGTGTAGGTAAGAGTTTAGGAATTTAAAATATTACATAAATTACATAAAATGTTTTAAACGTATTTTGTTGAAGATACTTTATTTAGAAATCTATTTCTAAAAAAATAATAATTCAATGTAGCTCTGCATAATTATGTCCAACAAGCAGAGTATCTAAATTCAGGATCATAACCTGGCTAAGTATCTATCGGAGTCTGACTTCAAAATAATTATGCACCAAAACTAATAAAGAAGTTCAAAAAACTAACTTATAGAAGCAACCGTTTAAGAGATGAGTCTATCAATGAGAACTTCAAGGATTAAAATTAAAATAAATAAGTCAAACGGCGTCAGGTGCAGCGCTGGAAGGACAACTAATTAATGGGAGAGGGTGTGCAATGTCCGACCAACAGGTCAAACCCGTTGATAACCAAGATGAGCTTAAAATAACTATAACTTTTGTATATGTGAGCCTTTAGCATATTAACTAACATTTTATTTATATTCTTCCAGAATGGCCAGACCCAGGTATATTATACCTAGGTATTGTTATTGCTTCATTTGTATCAAGTGATACAATAAGTCTGGGTAGAAACAGAGACATTCTACTGAGGACAAATAACTTGGATACTGGCTGGCTTGTTAAACCTAACACTATTTACTACATTGAAGACCCTTCACTCATCTTTTCAGTTTACTCTACTCTAGAAAGGGCTTACTTAATGTGAAAACAATTATCATGTTGTTTCTTTAGTACACCATATTCACTTCTAGACATATATAACATCTTCTATTCCCCAAAGTGGTAGGCAGTGGAGCATACATTGAATGTATCATCAAGATCCTCGTGTAACTGGGAACATTAAGTCCTTGTAGAGATAAAGACAATCGGCGAAGCGTCCCCGATTCATGGTAGACCCACACGCACGAAGCGCTTTGCATCAAACTTCCTTGTACGTACTGCTAAGGAGTGGAATTCTTTGCCAGAATCTATATTTCCTGAAGGGTGTCTTCAAGGCCCGAGTGAATAGGTTGCTTATGGGACGACGTGCTCCATCGTAGACCGCGTCATTGCTCCCCAGGCGACATAGTGGTCAAACGTCGGCCCATCAAATATAAATAAAAAATAGGGCCCTTCGTATTGACTTGTTGATTATAAGTACTTAATACTGTTTAGTACTAGCCATTGACTTCACAGATCACTTGAGTGGAAAATTGAATGATCATTTTAATTGTTACCTCCATTGACTGACAACTTAATTAGTATTTATTGTTTTGCATTTAATGTGAGCCTACGTGAGCATTATTTTGAAAATTATTTTTGGATATTTCGACATAATTATTGGTATGAAGCCTAAATTATGTCTTAATGTATTAAGAGGTTTTACTTGCACATAACTGCATTTTTGCTATTTTCTTTATGCAATAACAGGCGTTGTACAGATTCTTCATTCATTAACGTCATCTTCATAAGATTATCTTAGTCTACAAAAAAGCGTAAATAATTTAAAATGACATGAAAAATCGAATGTAACGCTTAGGGCGTTTAATTACTGTTATATAAGATACCTTCAATTCTACAAAAAATAAATTAAAGGAAATTAAATTACATACTTATTATGTACGAGTAGGGTCTAGCAATCGATTAATTCGGCGACGTCAGTGTAGATAAGGAAATGGCATGTCATCTCATCAGACAAGGGCCACTACTAAACTTGCCTTTACGAATAATTCTTTGTACCACAGCTGTACGTAATGGTATAATAATATATGTAGTGTATGATAGTTCGTAGGATCTGCTTCATGCTTCATTTTCTAGTATTAACTATCATCATGGGCCATTTCCACTCACTGATCCTCCCCGAAGCACGCGACTTTATGTTGCTTATCATTTAACCCATACTGATTACAGAGCAGTTATCTTCACTCTACCTAAGTTGTTAGGCTACTTCGTTTTTGGACTCGATAACCCGAAATTAAACCATCCTACTATAAAACCAGATAGAATCTTCAATGTTTCTGGTATTAAAAGACCTCTACAAATTATAAATAGACATCATCCGAAAGAGTCAGCATAAATTGATTCTTCTACGTATATTTTTTGCATGCATTGAATTCTCTCGACCTTCACCAAGTCAGCGGACCACCCTGCGGGACAGCTACGCTTGTTTTACGAGTATTTACACGAATTAATATTTTTATTGAATGCACTTACTTTGTATAAGTCGTCCAGTTTATACGTAATCAGGACTCTTTAATGATAAATCAGTTGGTTATAATTATAAATAAAATTGCAACAAACTGGAACAATTTAAGTAACTCCACATATCTCCAGTCATATCTATCTCTCTCTTCTTCGATAATTGCAATGAATAGTCAATTTTGCAGAGCTCGGGAGATTGGCTAAGTAGGTGATATTTAGCTCCATGTAAAATAACATTCAGAAAAAAATATTTAAAATAAATAAATATTAAGTATTATTATTATTGTATGATTCTTCACACAATAAATAATTAATTTAATGATATAATTATACATGGTACGTTTTTTATTGGATTATATTGTCATGTGAATTTTGAACGTAATAAAGTTATTAACACTAGTACTCCAATTTACAAAACCATGTTCTTATTTTTTGTACAATTAAAAGTTTTATTAAGGGTAGTAGAATAGTGATGTTTTACCATTGGCATACTCACTAATTAACCTTGAACTGAAGCCTGGGAAATTTAATAACAAAAGGAAATGAAAAACATTCCGGTTTTGGCATATTTTAGAGTTCGGAAAAATTCTTTAGAAGCTAATATTTTTATTCAGTAAGATAACTTCTCGTTAGATATTTATGTAAATATGAAATAGAAATAGCCAATAATATCTTGTTGTTTTTATATGGGGGTTGATCCAGCTGATCATAGAGTTGTGACAATCAATGCACTTTGTGCTAAATGTTCCACGGATATCTAAAAACTTAAAAGAAAATCTTGAACATTACAATATTTTTAAAGAGTCTGCATACCATTAATGTCTGTAAGCATTATAATCAACTAGCTTTTAACCGCGGTTTTGCTCGCGTATTCCTGTTTTATCCCATGGGAGCATTTAATTGGGATAAAAAGGATATTCTTACACATAAATCAGCCCATATTCTGCCTGTATACCAAATTTCATCGAAATTCGTTCAGTACTTTCAGGGTGAATAACGGACAAACATCCAAACATCCTTACATCCAAACATCCAAACATCCGAACATCCAAACAAAGAAATTTTCACATTTATAATATTTATGTACTACTCATTCCTACTCCATATAGTAAGGTACATATATCTATTAAGTAGACAAAGTTAAAATATTCAGGGCTAACTTTACGCAGATTTAATTATTTTACCCAAAATACCAAGGTCTCGTTCAGGTGTTATTTTGTACTAAGTAATAATTTCCCTTAATAAAGGTTTGTATTGTCGTGCCTCTAATGAGAAGGTAGGAAATGCAGCAATTAGATGGAAGTGGGACTGTCATAGCGAAGTATTTCGACATGTGAGGAACTTTGACAAGTTAAGTTATAAGCGAAAGCGAGTTGGTAGAACTAACTTAAACTTTTATGTCTACTATTATGTGTACTTTAGTTTTTTTTAGGGGGGGAAATCATGAATGACTGCTCCCGCCTGGGTGAGGTGGGAGGGAGTGTCAGACTCTTACTGACTGAAAACCACCCCGTTCCTTCTCCTGCACGTCGAGCCGAAGCCCCGGTAACCCGTTAGGTTCTCCGCGACATGTGTACTTTAGTTTAACAGCTGAATTTTAAGCAACTCAAAATGCGAATAAATTCTAATTGCAGTAAAATATTAAGTTTCAAGCTGAGTTTAAACGATATTCATACTTTTCCTTGAAATAATTTTCAGGGAATACTTTCTTATTTGTTTTATTTTCAACCAGAATCGTCCTACTGCAATAACACTAATTAAAAATCTAAAATGTATTTTTTTATTTGGAAACAGCAAACATTTTTCTAACTTACGCCATACAATCAAACGGACATTGTCACCATCAAGTAGCCCCACCGTCCTTCCTTCCGTCGCCAGAGGTCGCCGCCATCATTATATACAATAGTCATTGAAACCTTCACAATTTATATAAAATACTTCTGCAGTACCTATATACTGCTCATTTTGGGAACATGTTAGTCCTAAGTAGGTAAGGGCAATAAGAAGATAGGTGAGATAAAAACAGCCAATTCTTTTTTTTTTTTGTTTTTATTATTAATTCATATTTTATTAGATACAATAAATGTAATGATTGTGATTTAAATAAGATAATGAGATTTCCTATTGTTATTTTTTGCTTAACTGTAATTATTTATTTATTACTTGAAAATTTGAGTTCGAGATTGAGTTTAATCTAAACATCGATCATCACAATTGGGATGATGACAGGGTATGAAAATTAAAAATATAATTAGTCCGTAAGTTAGCTAATGAAAAAATATTAGACACATATTTTTTTTTATTTTGTCGTATATTAAAACAATACTTAAATAAAACTAATCAAAGTTTAGAGTGCGGGCTAAAACGTCATTTCTACGTATAAAATGTACATAGAAGTAACGTCACGCGACATTACCAATAAATATATCGTCGAAAATATTCGTTTCTGTGAGGAAATAAAAAATACGTGTCCAATGATTTAAAATAATCTACCAGACGGACATTAAAAAATCGCTAGATGTCCTGCGCGTCCAGTACAATAACGGTTTCAGGATGTTGTTGAGACTGCCCCCCATTGCAGTGCTTCGGAG